AAAAAATGGGTATATGTATCTTATGAACACACTTCTTAATTTATAAGCTGCAAAAATAAACAAATTTATTAAATGTGATGTGGGGTGGGGAGGAGACAAAGACCAAGTTCCAAGACAATTAATTCGATTGTATGCTTTGTAGATTACCTGGTAACCTACATTTTATCCAAATGCCACCTGGGACTGAGCTTGGTAATAAAGACAATTTAAGTGGAGAAGTGGGGGATGCAGAAGTACTCAGAAGTATGTATGTGTCCATTCTAAATACGCTCAAAAGCAAAAAATGTAGCAGAGGAGTAGGGATCTAAGTTTCTGAAGTTCTGCTATGTGCTACATTTATCACATTATTTCATTTAATCCTCTCAAATGTCTTGTGGAATGGGTATCATTATCCCCATTTAGTAAAGGATACACTGAAAACTGTAGAGCCATAGTCACACACTTAGAAAGTGGAAGAGCAGAGAACAGAATCCATCTGTTTGGCCTCAAAGCCTATTTGCTCTTTTGACTATATCACATAGTTTTTTATGGTATCTACAAGGCATGGTACTAAATTCTACTTTATTTCTGATTGATCTCTATTAAAAAATAGTTTTTAAACACTTTACTGTTCTCCATTTCCAGAGTCTTATTCATTATTAACTATTTTATGGAAGCAAACATTTACAAAGTAGAAATCTGACATTTAGAGAAACTCTTCAGTTAATATTTCTGAATTTAAATCATGCTCCTCCAGTTGCCTTTCATCTAAATTTGTGATTTCTTACAGAAGAGCATACATGTCTAAATACTAATGCTTTAAAAATAAAAGAGCAAGAAAAAAAATCTCACCTTAAATCTACACTTTGTATCACAGCAAAAGGAATCATATTTGTTTTTTAGGCACTGGCTTCAATGTCCTGGATTATGTCTTCATCATTCTAACAATTTTGAGCTCCTTGTGAACCAATACCATTAAACACACAGTTATCTCCCATGACACTTAGCACAGTGACCTATACATGGCATGTATTGAGTGCTGACTGAATGAACAAAAGGAGCAGAAAGAAACTACCATAACATTGAATATTTTATAATAAAAACAAAATTCCAACCAACCATTAGTTACTTTCAATATTTGGTGACATACAATTACAGCAATAGTATGCATAGTAAATGCATGCAAAGATACATATTATTTCTATTTAGGAATATGTACAGTAATGCCAAACTCCAACCTATTCCTTGTTATAAGGAGGGCATAAATTTAGGACATTTATTTTGGAGGGGGATAAAGGCAGCCAGGAAAGGGACCTAAAAGAACTCTGAAGAGGGTTGAGTGTTGGAATAATCTGAGATGTATTCAAATACTTATTTTCATTCATTGTAAAAAGGTATCCTTATAAAAATTAATATTGCAAAACAAGAGACGACCACCATCTCAAATTTATATAGCAAACAAGACCAGAATATTCGGATAATTGCTAACAAAATGTCTGATCATGATAGAACATGCTGTAAAGAGAGAGCAAAGGACAAGACATCTAAGTTTGAAAATATAGGAATTAAAGAAAGGAAGCAATCTGTTTTAAGGACCTGGTCGCTGAAATTCAAAATAAGAAACTATGGAACTCTATGCCTAATCACAATGGGCAGGAGACAGAAGAACAATAAATTATATCTATGCCCCTATGTTTCTAAAGTGGCCAGCATTAGAACAGGTGTGTAATTGTATGAAAGTAGCATTTTAGAACAAAACATTACAAAAAATGTTTCTGCCTTTGCTTTTTAGGGAAAACAACAACACCTGGAAATTTCTAGAGCAGTCAAGCTCTGCTTTGATTTACATGTCAAATAAAAGCAAAATATAACCATGTAAGTTACTTAAAACCTTATTGGTACTTCACTATTTTCAGATTCTACAGGTTATAAAAACAAATGTCTGTGGGAAATAAAAATTTTAACCACTGAGATATTACCTAATGGGATAACCATCAGGTCACAGTACAGAATTAAGAGACTATTTAAATTTACACAAGCCCACGTACCACTTGGAAAAGGAATGCTGACGTCTAAACCCCCCACATATATCTAGGCAATTTCTCCACCCACTAGTTAGTGTATAAGGAGCATTGCTTTTCTAAAAACATTACAAAATTGACACTTCCATGGGCTTTTAAAATTTACAAACCAGGAATCGTAGTAAAAACAGTGACAGGCAAGGATTCAGTTAAGCATTGATACAGTCATTTAAAAACCTGCTAAAAATGAATTTGATTCTGCACTGTGTTCTAAAATGCAAATTCAAGAAATAAAACTTCATATACCTGACTAATTTATTATACATGTAAAGTACCTGTATCCTCTTGTTTATATACAATCTGACTTCCTAATTCTAGATAAGCACATGCTAATGGCCTGGAAAAGTACTAAATATATAAGATTGACTTGTAATTCAGCAGCTAGATTTGCTTACACATCCTCTTGATATCAATAGCAAGAAAACAAAAGAGACTGTCATAACTAAAGAATCTTTTCCCAATCTCCATCAGCACCCACAATATCTACCACTTCACGGCTTTACTGCAACTGGCATATCTAATAAGAATTGCTCTGTGCCATAAACAAGGGTAATACCTAAATATGAACATTATTCAATTTTAAACATGAAATTTTATTTGCATTCTGATGAACAATTTTGAATGATTTTTTATGTTATATGCATAGCACCAAAACCTAATAAACGCTTAAGTCTAATTTTCTTTTTCTATCTAATTTGAGAAAATTGATAATCTAAAAAAGTATAGGAGCACATTTTGGAAAATTATGACATTATTTATATGTTGTGAAACCTTCAGTATAATAGTAATATTTGAGACATGTACTTAAAAATGTTCTACACATTAAAATATATAATCCTCCCTTGTGGTACAATTACTCAAAAATAAATTGATAAAATAATACTAGTAATAATATATAATAACAGAAAATATACAATTCCCCATTCATATACTTCTGAGTTAATTTTCTAACTGGCAAAGAGCACAGATGATTTTTTTCACTCGAAGGATAAAATTATGTTCATCTGGGAGCATATTCGTAGCCTAAGTTTCTGCTACATGCAAAATGCCAGGCTTGGTCCGGTACAAAAGAGAGCTAATAGCCAAGTAGAAGAAAAAGATACGTATGAATAACCACAATTCAAGAACTCTGCGGTAAATGCCATAGAGTAATACAGAAAAGGAGCCATAGGAATTTGAATGAGGAATATGTTAGTTTCAGCTACAGGAATAAAGGAAGTGTATCCTCCTTTGGGGAGAAGGAAAAATAAAGAAGTTCTACATATTTGTGTAGGGACTGAAGCAAGGAGAAGAGGTAATTTGTTAATTATCAGTGTTCACACTCCTTAATTATTTTGACTTACTGAGCTAGGAATGGGGCTGTCAAGGTATAAGGGTAAGGATGGGAGAATGAGGCTGGGATGGAAACTGACTCCTGTTATAGTAATCTCACATAAATTTTGGAATATTAAAATGGCTGTGGAAAACTGAAGTAGGCTGGGCTCTAAAAGAGTTCTGTCTAAAGATATACCTGCATTTACAGATAAGAAGGGTTCTTTCTGCATAGTGATAAAAGTCGCCTTATCTACTAAAAGGATCCAAACAAAATCTGGAAGTCAAAGTAACTCAAGGAAGTTAAAATTCCCAAAGCAACTTCAAAATTGAAGGGAAGATGAGCAGTAACCATTTAAAAACATCTCCCAAAAGTCATTAATAGTACCAAGTAAATCTTTGCTAATTTATAGCTTTATATGTACATAATTTAACCTACCATGAAAGTACAAGTCTCTCTCCAAATTATCCAGAGAAACTAAACATTCATTAGGCCATGAGAAATAATATACAAGCCATCTTCAATAACAACATATATTTGGAAGTATTCAATTCAATGCCACTATTATATGTGTTTCATTAGAATAGGGAAAAAAGTGAAAGGAAAGCTGAATAATTTTAATCTATAAAATCATCACTCAGAGAAAAATGAGTTTTTAAAAGCAAAACAGTTCATTATTTCTAAGGGGTACCAACCATCCTGATACTTCCCATAGTATATTTTCGATATAAAAAATTCCAAAGGAATTAATTCTTTAATTATTAGGTACAAGAAATTCCTCAACATCTGCAGTGTAACTTTAAAAATGTTTTAGGTTTTAAAAATATAAAAGCCATCCTTGAACATTAAAAAATTAACCCACATTTTAAAAAAGACTTTATAGTACAAAGTGTTTTGTTTTTCCATATCTATAAGGCAAATCACTGCAAAACTTTGCGGTCAGATACCAAAGCCTATAAAGGATTACATTTTCAGTCTCTATTCAGCAAGAATATGAAGCAGATAATGAAGATACCACTGCATATTTTATATATTACCTTACATTTATGACAACTGTATATTAATACAGAATATTTTTCTCTGCTTTAATACTTTCTTTCAATATATAACGATGAAAACTTAGCCAATAAAAAAAAAAGCAGGGCCGTTACAATAGACCTAAAAAAATCATTAGCATTTTCTCAGCTTTAAATGGAAAAAGTGTTGGTTGCCTAGCAAACAAATTTTCCTCTGCCAAAAAGAAATAAAAATTATATCCTAACCAAGATGGGTAATTAGGATGTAAACAAACATCTCTAATTTCCATTATCATACACAGAAAATAATATATGTTGTTATAATTTTAATCGCTAAAAAAGCTGCAGTTCCATTTAACAAATAACTTTCAGTGTCTGACATTTAAGAGAAAAGGCTTAAGATCCATGCTTCACCAGCTCTATGAACATGTCACAGCAGCATTTCATTTTACAGTTAAAAGGTACCAGTAAAATACAGCCATATATATGTATGTATATATACGTGTGTGTGTATATATATGTATATACACATATATATGCCAACTTTAAAATTTTTAACTGTAAAGCAAAAAGAAATCACTGAAGGGGAGTATTATATTTTAAATGACTTACCTTTCGCCCATCACTTGCATGGCAATTCACATTTAGAGGAGTCAGTAAAGCCATTAGTTTTTCTTCATTACCACTCCTACAAAAAGGTAGTAAGTCAATTCCTATAAAATTATAGTGCTTCTTATGAATGTTTATGGATATTTTTTACAAGAGAGTAGAAAATGATATGGGCTTGCTTTGATTTCTTTAATATGGTTCTGAATGAATCTCTTTTGCTTTATTCAATTCAATCAATATATTCCTAATAATTCCTGTTAATCATCATCCAGTGGTATATCATAGATAAGGCAGCTTTCTACATTTTTGTTTTATGTATCTGCATAAAGTCACGTTCTTAATTACAAACAAACTTTACTCTGATAAGTGATCTAAAACACTGGAGTTAAAAACATATAAAATGCTGTAAAAAGCTAATCAATTAAATTATAAATGAACAAGAACAAAAGAAAATGGGTGAGAATTTTAACATTTACTTCATGCCCCTCATTCAAGCTTGGCTAGAAAAATTTCCAGAGAAAAATAAAGATATAGGTTTTTAAATACTCCAAGAATATCATTCGAAAAGCTCGGCAACTCGGGTTTGCAGTTACCTTAAGAAATGTTCCAAATAAAATTAACCTTACAATCATCATCATATTGAAAGACAGTCTCATTTAATACACTAATCGTGCAAAATAAAGTATACAAAGATTTAGTATAAGGTCTTACCCGCATTATCGTATAAAATCCAAGCAAGACAATAACATGTTATAATTTTTATAGTCCTCCACCTGCCCTCCTCTTCTCCCTTAAATGCATTATACTCACTTAAAATGAATGGAATCACTTACCTAGCAGCTTCTAGGAGTTCGTCTTTCTTGTATTCACCTAGATGATTGCAAAATATCATGCTGTTAGCATTTGGCAGAAGACAGATTAAGAAATGCAGTAGGCAGCAAATAGAGAATTAAATAGAAAAGAACAGAAAAAGAGAGTCCACACCCCGCTGGGTGATGGAGCCGTGACGTTAGCCAGCTTGTGAAGGCAGCATCACCAGTGCCTTGGAGACGGGCAGCAAATTGACGCAGCTTCTTGTCCAATCCTCAGATGAAATAGCTTTCTTCAGACGACCAATGAATGCTAAATCTCGTGTCCAGAAACACATTCCCTCTGATAACAGCATGCCAGTTGAAGACAATGTCCCCTCCCCCCTTTTCTATTCAGGCTGTCACAGTATACTTGTGAAGCATAATACATTCTGAGACAAAAGCAAAATAATGTGGCTCTTTAAAGGTACAAATTACTAGTCTTTAAAAAACCTCAGTTTTATTTGTAATGACATGGAAAGTTTTGTCAAAAAAAACCACATTAATTACCATTGCTGAGCTTTATAGCAGAAGAAAAAAAATATCAGGATCAAGAAGCCTTTGCCTCGATAGGGTAGGTCTGTAGACTAGAAATACGTGAACTACGTACCAAATGCTATGAACCCCTTGGAGGCAGTGCTCTAAAAACCAAAACAGTGAATACATTCCTAAATGACAATAATATTCTAACGTGCTGCAACCTACACTTTATACAAATTCAATACCAAAGTTTAACAACAATGAATCTTAAAAATATTTTTTAAAAGGAGACTGCGATCTCTGAGAATAAGCAGACATCCAACTATTAAGATGTGAATAATTTTTCTCCATTCTATTTTTTAATATATCACAGACTGAAAATAGGTATATAATTTAGAATCTTCAATACAAATTTCTTAGGGCATTCAAGAACTAACAAACAAGTCTTTGCAAGCACAACTGAAGGAATTTTAGTAATATAGAGTTTGCTCACTGAATAAATAAAAGGAACAGCCAGGACCATGATTCAGCTATAATATGCTGACTCAGTTTGCTATATCATTAAAGAAATAATTATACAAAATGTCTAAGCAAGTAATTATGTGAAGGCAAATATTAAATATACATACAAAAAATAAAATTTTAGATGAAAATGTTATAATTCTATTAAGAAATAAGCTTAAACTACTTTAAAAAATCTTATCACTTATAAATATGGATTTCTTTGCGTTTTGTTTATTTTGCTACAGAATGCAGAATATTGATGCAAATTTTTTTTTTTTTTTTTTTTTTTTGGTGGCGGGGCCCTCCCTTTTTTTTGCTCTCCCGTTGCGGAGCACAGGCTCCGGACGCACAGGCTCAGCGGCCATGGCTCACAGGCCCAGCCGCTCCGCGGCATGTGGGATCTTCCCGGACCAGGGCACGAACCCGTGTCCCCTGCATCGGCAGGCGGACTCTCAACCACTGAGCCACCAGGGAAGCCCTGATGCAAATATTTTAAGGACGTCTCAGGACCATCAAGCACATGTTTAAATTCTATAACCCTTCATTAGCAAATATTTCTTAAACTTTTGTCTTGATTCTTAGATTAAGATTTTATTAAAATCTAGAAACTGTAAGCAGTTATTTTGAAATAAGGAAAAAATTGTTAAATATCTAGTCTCTCCTAAGGGAATTTTATATACCAATAAAGTCACGGGCTCAACAATATACATGGATAAGCTAGAATGCATGCTTCATGATAAGAGTTGGTCTTTCTAATTTCCCATGTATTGTATTCCAGATTCTTTAACTGATTGACAGTTTAAGATTACATTATTCTAATCCCCCACAAATAAGGTTCTTGTCTTCCCAAAACCAAAGACCTACCTTTATTAAATATTTTAGGTGGCAATATGGAAGTGAATGAGTCAGTTTAAGAATCTCCTTCTGAGAAAATGGTATGACCCATACCCTCAAACGCCTTAAGAATCAAGAGCAAAATAAGTGAAATTATGGGATAATCTATAAAAGTCATTCATTTAGTCAGTCAGCAAACAATTATCTGAAAGGCCTATAGGCCAGATTCAAAACCAGAAAAAGAAACTATCATCTCTAAACTCAAGGAATAATAGTCTATTAAACAAGACAAACAAGTAAACAAATGATGGGAGTAGGAAATGAGTCTTATGCTATGAAGAGTTTAAAGGCTAGTCTAAGTAGGATTAATAAGAGGCAGGATAATTATAGTTCAAGGAAGGTTTCCTAGAAGAAGGAAAACTTGTGCAGAGTTTTTAAAGGAAGAACAGGTGATCCTCCGGTGAAGAAGGGTGAGGGAGAAGGAAGCAACCAAAGTAAAAGAAATGAGAGGGGCAATAGCTGCTCAGTAAACCTGAAACAAAGCACATTTGCAGGGGAATGGGTAAGAGTGAGGCAGAGAAGAAATAGATCACATGAATGGCACTCTAAGAAGTTTGAACTTTATTTTGAAAACAATGAGGAAATACTGAAATATGTTAACAAGTAGAGTGCAAAGTATATTTAAAGATCTATACGTTTTGTGATTATTTAAAATATTCCCATATTCTACTCCAGTGAACTTTTCTTGGGGAGGAAAGTGGCCCAAACGGGGTAAAGGGAGGTGAAGACAATCAATTCTGACACAGTCTATATTTTGGTGTAAGTATACATTTCCTGATATACAGTTATCATACTGAAATTGAGATCTGAAAGCAGCTACTACTGAAATTGAAGTCATAGTGAAACATGACTTCAGTAAGCTAGGAAATAAAACTGCAAAGTATTTGGCATCTCCAAAGTTCACATCAGTCTACATACATAAGCTTCTCATCAAGTATAGCTTATTGATATTTTCTCCAAAGGGCACTTTTTGAAAAAAAAAAAAAAGTTATTCCCTCATGGATAAACTGATAATAAACCAAAGCTTTCAAAAGGAAACATATAAGTGCACCCAACAGTGTCAGACGGAGGTATTACAAATGACTTTCTACTTTCACTGTTAGAGTTCCTAGTACTTATTCAGCTTTTCTGCAATACATTCCAACATCCACTATCTGGTGCCCGAGGACCACAATCCATAAACATTCAAAGCTATTTTTCAAATGCTACATCGCAGAAATAAGTAGCGTGATGAACTTAGAGTCCCTCACACACTCTGACAACAAATCCGAGCTGCTTACTTAACAGTGAAACCCCTAGTTCTATTTCATTTTAGCTGCGAATCTGAAAATATTCTGGCTGAGACTCTGGTGCTCTGTGGAGCATTTATATTCTTTAATAACATCCAGATAAAGGCTAGCAATAGATCAGCCAGAAAGGAAACTACGCAATTATAGTCAAGATAATAGCAGCCAGAAACGGAGAAAACAGATGGCTTAAAATATTTTTCTTTGATTAGAATAAAATAAGTGGGGCTAAAAAAAAAAATAAGCAAGCCACAAGTTTACTTTCCAAAATCTGAACTGTTTTTATTAGTAAACTAAGTATTGATAGGATGCATGTAAAGATAAATACACACACATACACACACACACACACAGTCGGGGGGCAGAGATATGAGTTAATGTGTTAAAAAGTATCAATATGTTATCAGAAAGAAGGTTAAAAATGAAAGTTAAAAAATAAAGGTTAAAAATAAAGCTCCCCTTTGTATTTCTCTGAGGTAGTTAGAAACAACTTCTCTTTCACTTACTGTGAAGGCAAAATTACTTTTTGAATAAAAATGAAGAAAACCTGAATCAATAAATAGACGTCATAATTATTGACTTATCTCAATTTCAACATCTTAAGGGGCTTTCGTTCTTTTCTTTAGCAACTGACAGGATCAAAGCAGACTAAGTTTTCTAAAAATGAGTCATTTGGTTTTGTTGAGATGGAACAACATGGAAAAATTATGAACACAGAATCATAAATTCTTAAAGCAATAAAGGACTAAAAAAGAATTTTGACCTTTCTTTTCTCTACTTTGAAACCATGCATAATACATGCCTATCAGTAACATTTCTTGTTATATGCAGTGAGGGGGGGGTGTAACTTGAAAGTCACCTTTCTCCTGTCACCTCATCCCCAATTTCAGAATAGCTTTCCTAAGGGATCATCAACATATTATTTACAGTTAATGAAACTGACACCAAGACAATTAAATGAATTGCCTAAGGTTTCACTGAGTATTATTCACTATCTGTCAAGCCCTGAAAAAAGGCTAACGTGAGCAGAAACTAACCAAATCTGCGTTTTGGAAGAATCGATGTAAACAAAAGAGTAACACAACAATAATAGTAATAAAACAATTTTAAAAACAATGACAACAACTAGCTTTAAACAGGTTGAACATATTAACATAAGCCAAATATTTCCATCAAAACTACTTTAAAGCAGGGAACTTTCACATGAGCTTGTAAACATGGGCCAAAAAAAAAAAAAAAGTTTTACCTTCTAGTTTGTTTTAACATTTTGGACTAAGGGAATAGGTAGGAATGAAGACAATGTATTCCAGGTCTATTAAAATGACCAATTCATTTTGTATTTCCCACAGCATGTGTTAATTCCTCATGCTTTAGGTATCTCAAGGTAAGAGCTACGTAAAGACTTCAATCAAGAATCTCAATTATCAAGTTTAGGGACCCTTTTGTTGCTGAGGGCTAAGTAGTACCATGAATTGCTAATTCTCGTATAGATACTTTCTCATCAAGCTGCCAACAAATACAAGAGATAAACTGATTCTTGTAACTAAACTGACAGCCAATATGGGGAATAAAATATTAATTTGGGTGACATAATCCATTGTGTTTTCACGAATAGATTTGATACTTTAGAAACAGCCACGTAGTTGTGGAAGGAATTTCACTGAAGCACCAGGAAATAATCTAATCTCAAGATGTTAAGCTAGGTCTTCCACCAAAAGCAATTTTCAGACAGGCTGGTATCTACTATATGTACACATGGCCCCAGGAATGATCTGCATCCTCTCTCTGAAATTATTTTTTGAATTATTTGAATTATTTATTTCAATTGTCAATTGAATTATTATTTCGTTCTCTGAAA